GTATACTTGAGGGTTACTTTTAATCCCGTCTATACCCTCTTGGGTAGTGTATACGGTGTCTTTTACGGTGAACGACTCTGCTTGGATCACTCAAACTGTTAATTCCGACTTACAACAGATTCGCAATTCAGTGGTGTGTCGACAATTGTTTAATGCGTAATCCAGATAAGACGAAACTAATGGTTTTTGGCAGCCGAGGAATGTCTTCGAAATTACTGGACACTGTATTATTGTTCATCAGTATGGTCATCCACCTCAGCTTGTAATATTCGTAAATTGCTATACGTTCAAAACTTTCTCGCGCGAACTATCTGCAACGTAAAGAAGTATGACTATATCTCTCCTGTCAAGAAACCTACGTTGGCTCCCTGTAAAAACACAAAATATTGCCGAGATGCTATTTTAACATTTAAATGTATGACGGATCAAGCCCCGGAATACTTAAGATCTATGTATATAACAAGAGGCAGCGTATCTGGACGTATAACCAGAAACTTTCAACGACTAAACATTCCTCTTTTTAAAACTGCAATAGGACAGAAAACGTTTTATTATAAAACTGTATCTATCTGGAACAAGTTAGATCCAAGCCTTAAATTATGTAAGAGTCCCGCTTCCTTTAAGAGAGCTCTAAAAAATCACCTTTTGAATGAAATTTTAAACTGATCATATTTTATTTAAAGATGTATAACTCGTATAATATTGTGTGTATTTTAATTTTGTAATCCAATTTCTTCACTGAAAATCCCATATGGGGACGTGTTCAATAAATGTAAATGTATGTGTACTTTTCCCGTCCAAAGAAGGCAGCGATGACTTGATTTTTTCCTCATGCAGGTTTGAATAGCTTAAACTCTCTAAACTCAAATGTGAAAGAACAGAAACCAATTTTTTCAAAATTAGTTCCTCATTAACACGTTGACCGAACGCTAATCAATATGATATTTGATAAGTTTTGTTCACCTTTTTGGTCACGATACAGAATCATTTATCAGCATTGAGCCGTTTAAAATGTTTAGAAAATCAATTTGTGTGTTCCTAATGCTCTACCCTGCTATCTTTTCTTACGAAAATGGTTAAAATCTAAGATTAATTCATAATTCTGCTGTCACGTTAGCAAAATCACCATAAGTTTGAAGTCACTAAGGCGAAGAAAATTAATAAGTGAAAGATGCTATTACATTTCTTTCAAAAACTCATTAATAATTCATAAGCCCATTAACCTATCAAATGGTAGATAATATATCACGTGCAGTGACTTTATATCGATAAACCTCATCCTTTTTAGTATGCGGTGTTTTATCAGATATAAAGACACTGCACGTGACTTATAAATATTAATTAATTATCAACACAGAAACTGACACAACAAATGTTGGGAACATAGTTAATGTTCTTTCAACAAATTTCACACAGTAAATTTACTTTTGCACCAAATTAA